TAACCTTCCAGTTTGATTTTCAGCCTTTCATGGGGTACACTGTTGAAAGCCGTGGCAAAATCTAGGTAAATAGTGTCGATATTACTACCCTTTTCCAGAATTTGGGTACAAATATCCAGTATCTTGAGTAATTGTGTTAAGCAGGAGCGCCCCTGCATAAAACTGTGTTGGCAATCCTTTACAAGGTTGTTTCGTAGTAGATGTTCCATCACGGCATCTCTTATAATGCTCTCAAGTATTTTACATACTATGCCGGTTAGGCTCACCGGTCTATAGTTATTTGTGGAGTGACGATCGCCCTTCTTGAAGATAGGACTCGCATAAGCCATTTTCCAGTCACTGGGAACCTTTTGCTCATCCAGGCATTTACAGAACAGGATCTGTAGGGGCTCGGCAAGCTCATTGCACAACTTTCTTAGCACTCTGGGATGCACCATGTTGGGGCCGGGACTCTTATGAATCTTTAGCTTTGACAGTTTATTTCTTATAACCTCTTCTGTGAACACAATGTGGGTCAGTGCTGTGTCGAACTGTGTCCTCAAACTCAGGAAAATTAATCGCATCCTCTCTTGTGAACACCGAGGAAAAGAAGCTGTTCAATGCTTCAGTTTTGTCCTGGTCAAAATCTGCATAACTACCTTCAAGCCTCAGATCTGATATGCCTACTCAGGTTTTTAATTTCGACTTTGCATAGCGGTAAAACGCCTTTGAGTTTGACTAGACTTGACTTGACCTCGCTTGCAGCCAGCCTCTGGGATTCAATTTCAGCCCTTCTTCACTCTGACTCTGCTTAGTTCCTGGCTCTTGCATGCATCCTGATCATCATTTGACCTAACCCACACTTTGAATTTCTGGGTTTTCTTCTCGACTTCGTCGACCGCCGCATGGTTCATGTGTAGGGGTCACCTTGTATTCCTAGAGGCACTGGGATTGGTCTTGGGTATATATTTATTGATCAAATGGTTCACTTTACTAGTTATGATATTCAGCGTAGTGTCTGTGTTCTTATGCCTTAGTGAGTCAGGCCAGTGGATACCCCTCACCTCCTCCCTCATCCCGTAGTAATTTCCCTTGTAATATTTGCACCTTGGTCTGGTTTTGTCGTGAATTAAGTAACAGTTAAATCTGAATGACAACATTACATGGTGGCTGGTGGGGCTAGATGTTCCAGTTTGGCCACCTTACCCTCCTCATTTGTTATGATGAGGTCCAGTGGCTTGGGTATTTGCTCCCCTCTGCAATGAATCAGGTCTTTAACATGTTGGAACAGAAAATTATGTCTGAAGAGTAGCGGGGTTATTTAAGTAATTTGGGGTGAACTCGTTTCTCCAGTCGATGTCGCCACAGTTAACGTCTCCCCATAAGGAGGTGGCTAGGGTTAAGCCTCGCTGCATTGTCTATTAAGGCTCTTAATTTCCTTTGGTTTGGTAAGCTACAGTTTGGGGATCTGTAGATACACCCGACAAGAAGTCTCCTCCCTTTAATTTAATTTTACACCGCTTGGATTCTTCAAAAACTTCCTCTCCCTGCACCCTCACCTGGCTGGCTCTAAGGTCTTGCCTAGCAAAGATAACCACACCCCTCTTGTAAGTTTCTTGAGAAAGGTTCGTAAATATGTCATATCCGTCAATACTGAACTCGCATTCCTTTGGGCCGGTTCTCGTGTTCTTATACAACAGTTCTACAACACCCACTATATCAGGTTGGTGTGCCTTCGGTAGTGTTTCAAACTCCTCTCTCTTGTCAAGGAATGTGTCAGTATTAGTGTACAAGACATTCAAGCTGGAATATGTTCTTGGTAATGTCTCTGCTCTCGGTAGTAGCCCCGGCCCCCCTTTCCATTCTCAGCAGCTGCAGCATTTAATAAATACTGTACTGCACTCTATATTTTGCAGGGTGTGGTTAGAAATGTCATTGTTTACATGGCGCTCACCTCCTCCTGGGTGGGAGGTACAGTTGATGCCTCCTCCTGGGTGAGAAGTAGAGTGGGTGGAGGGCGTACCACTGCCCCCTGGCTATTTTTTTTTTTTTTTTTTTTTTTTTTGTAGAGAAAGGAGGGGTGAAAGAAGATTAGAGGTGGGGGAAGGAAGTTATAGTTCGGAAATTGAAGAAGTTTAGGAGGAGGTAAGAGAGGGCAGGCTGACCGCCTAGCTAAGCTAATAGTGTGTTAGGGTTGTGTCATGGGCTAGTTATTGTCTGTCGGTACAGGCACTAGACATCCTACCCTATCCCATACATGGGTGTTTTAAGGGCTTTATTTCATATTCTGCCAACCCTATTGTTGCTGTTGGGGAGGAGGGGGGGCAGGGTGGCATGCAGACTCTGTACAGATTTACTCAGCCTTAAACCCACCACTTTACCATGTAATGGACTTCTAATCATCGGTTTAATAATAATAATACTATTGATCTTTATGAGTACTATGATAATTGCTTCTAAACTGTGTCTTGGTAGCAGGGCTTTAGCGCAAGGTCCCTTTAACAGCCCCGCTTCGCTGCCTATATAGGCCGTTATGACTAGTGCCACCCACCGGGCTAGCACAATTAATTTCTTCTGACCAAGAAATTTAACCCTCAGTGGGATGACTTCCTTTATAATCACATCTACTAACAGAAGTCTAAGTGAAGTGAGATGTGGGAGTGATCATGCCCTTGTGGCAATCCAATGTTGTTATTAAAAAAAAACAAAAAACTGTTGCTCTCTGCTGGTCTTAACCTCCTCGGCCCTCTCATGCGTCCAGTGTCGCCGCCCAGGAGAGTTTCAGTTGTCTTTTTTTTCTGTTTTTTTTTTCAGTTCTCCTTGACGAGTTGTTGATATCTATGTGCTATCCTTATGTACACTGTACCTTGCTATGAATGACGGATCATATGCCCATTCGGTCCTTCAGAAACACAGAAAAAAATTTCTTTGGGGCGCCAATAGAATGCTGTTCTAGATAACGTGGCTTTTTTTTTTTTTTTTAACTATTATTTACTTATAATCTCTTCTCCGGTTCTCATCAACGAATATATCTCTATGTGCTATCACTGTGTACACTGTATCTCCCTATGAATGGTAGATTGTAGGCACAATTTCAGTCATTGACAAAGCGCACGCACGCACGAAAGCAAGCAAGCAAGCAAGCAAGCAAGCAAGCAAGCACGCACGCACGCGAAAAAAATGTGGCACCAATAATACAACTTGGATACTGCCGGCAGTGGTGCCTGATTTCTTGCCCCAATTTGTTCTTCACTTCAAATTATTTACAACCTCCTCCGCAGTCACTGATGTCAATATGATCTGTCTTAACTAAAGCCACTCTCTCTGGTTGGCCTTTGGATGGTCCATCACAGCCATGAACACAACTCAAAAAAAAAAAAAAGAATAAATCTTGTCATAGGCAATGATTTTATGGTTGTATGCCTCCCGACCTAGGCTGTACCTTCAGTTGGTGGAGTGATTTACCATATATACAATCGTGAATAACGTTAAAAATCCTACATCGATTTACACATTCACATTACCAAAACGATCATCATGCCCTTATGTAAACACTGTCCAATTTCTGCTGCTCAACAACGAAGGCCCGAATGCCAACACGCTTTATTACAGACACAACATGACCCGACCCGCATGACCTAACTGTTATGACACTACACTGTAATGTACTGTACATACTTGTAAATATGAGTACAGTATTACCCTGCTTTACACGGCTTCACTTTCCTAAATCGATTTCTCATTTACTGGTACCTTGCCAGAACCGGACTTTCACTTTCCGCGGTGCATCTACTCATATACGCGGTGAAGTATAATTTATTTGTTATTTTTTTTATTTAGCTCATAAAATTCATACAAATTACCCTGCCAGAATATAATTTACATTGCTGGAATTCTTACAATATGATGATCATTTTAAATATAAACATTATGGATTTTGCATTAGACATACAAATTTTAGATCTAATGTAATAATTTGGTTTACACAAAGCAAATATTTTATCTTTTGTGCAAAATATATGAAGTTTATATTCAAAATAATCCCTGACCTGCAAGGAATCCAGAAATGTCAATTATATTATCCTAACTTTAGTCTGAGGTATTATTTATTACTAAACGTTAAAATCTAGTGGTTTCACCCAAACATTTCTCAGAGAGGTAGGAGCTAGTGAGCTGGGAAGAGGGGGGGGATTTGAGTCCATTATTTGAATGGACATTACCCTGGTGACTGTATTTCTCTTAAATATTAATTGTGTGAGCATACCATCATAAAATTTAGATGTTAGTTTTACTACAACATAGGTATTGTGTCCGAAAAAGTGGAGTTTGGGGGTCGGGCCAGTCTCTATTGGAATTAATCCCATATGTTCTGTTGTTCACTTTACGCGGTACCCTGTGGGTTCAATTGACCGCGTAAATTGGGGTACTACTGTAATTAGAACAATTTCCATGGTTTTCTTGAGATTAACAAAATGAAAGTGATCTGATAGGTTATTCACTGAGCACGGTAAATACTGTAACATTCCTCACGTGAAGAACATGAAGTGTGTAGTCATTGGACCTTCTAACCAACTGTGCCAGGGGGCCAAAGTAGGATAAAACTTCATATGTATTTGGCCAGGCTGTACATATTTTGTATCTAATCTCTCTTACTAGCAATGGCTAAATATTAATATTTTATCCTTACACTATTAGCACTGACTAGCAGGTTAAAATTTATCATTACAGGTTCCTTGTATAAAGTATGTGTAAACATTATTTATGAGAATAATTATAAGATATTACAGCTGCTACAATATTGATGATTATTTATATAATGATAAGTGAACAACAAGTCATGTCTTGTATTTATTTCAGATGTGATTCATTAAGTATAAAGAACTTCAAGAAAAAAGTATTGTTCTTGAGTAATTATTACTACTGTTTCATGCTTTGTGATTACTTATGATCCTTGTTAAAATAGAAATACCTAACCTAACCTAACCAATACTAAGGTGTTTGACTATCTTGGCAGTACTCACGCTTGACGTCGCGGAAGACGTATGACCCAATGAAGGATAAGACAATGACTGCAACAGGCAGAGCATAATCAGCCAGAGCTTCGCGCTTGTTGGCATTCAGGTACGGTCTGGCAAATATAAAACACATGAGAGACTGGAAAATGATGTGAAAAAAAAGTGAGAGAGTGCAAAAGAAGGATAACTTAAGTACAGTACTGTACTGTATTGAGTAGTTACAGAGTAACCAATTAACATATCAACTGAGGTCAATTCATTTCTGTACTCAGCAATTATTACAATTAAAGAAATTGAAATGTTGCTGGCTGCCAAGTAATGCTGCCACAGTGGCAAATGCATTACCATAAAGTTTGATCATATTAAACAATGAAAAGAGCTTAGTATTGGGTCATATGGGGACGAAATCTTAAAAAAAAATAATTGTTTGAATTAACAATAGTTTCATAAACAATGATCACAACAGCAGAAATACAGACCTAATAACTGGTGCTAATAGTTATGCATAATTATCATTATCTGGGTAAAAAAGATCGACATTTTTAAGAGCTATGAAAAATAATGCAAACAGTCATACGCTACCTTCTCAAAAAAACAAACAAACATGCTCTTAAATCTTGAGAGGACAATTTACTCAGTGCAATACTGTGTCTGTATATTTTGAGGATGGATTGATTACTTCCATCATTTGTAACATTCTAAAGGTGTTGGGGGATGTTCTGCTGTGACCTGAGAATTCTGACTAGAAAATTTATTCCATGTCAATGTAATGGCCATTGAGGTATCCACATCATGAAACCTGATCAACACACTAGTGGAGGGAGGAGGGCATGATTTTTAAGGTACAGTAAGTCCGCGCTTAACACCAGGGTTACGTTCCTAAATATGCGACGTTATACAAAACAACGTGAAGCGGATAAATTTTCCCCATAAGAAATAGATAAAATATGGGAGTTACGTTTCTGAGCCTCCCTTTGCCTCATGAAATACATTACATATACAGCAAATCATTACCATTTCTATACCAAAAATGCATACATATACAACTACTGTACTAAGTTTGCATTGGTACTCACTGATGGGTGGAGGTGGTAGAGCGGGTATGTGGTGGGTAGTGAAACAGAAGAGGCGGATGGTGGGAGGGGAGGAGGGTGGCGAGTCACTGAGACTGCACCGAGCTGAGAGAGCTCAGCTCAGCCAGACGAGAGAGGGTGGTGCGCCATAGAAGGTAGTCCGTGACGACGCAAAAAGATGTAGTATCGGATCATCGGGAAGTTAAACAAATTTTTGGTCTCTAAAGTTTAGCGACGTAGTACCGAAATGACGTTAAGCGGGACGACGTAAAATGCGTACTTACTGTACTACCTCTTGACCAAAGGAGGGAGGCAGAGTCGTTTTACATCATACAGCACCTCAATCCAAAATGTACAACTGATTTAACTAATGAAGTATCATAGCTGTTATGTGTCCTTTGTCAATGGTGATCATTGAGAGTTAAGGTTGATTGAGAGGTTAACTGGGGCAGACCAAACATGGGGTGATAAGGCAGTGGGGTCAGAAAAATAGTAAATGGGGTCCATAATTTTGTTATTGGAATTCAATCAATACAAAAAGCTTGAGGTGAGTATCATGTAAACAATGTCATCTCCAGGCACACCCCATAAAATACGATGAGTTTAGTAAACGAGGCAGCTGCTGAGAAAGGAGGGAAACCAGAGACTTTACCAAGGACTATTTCTGGCTTGAAAATCATGTCCACTAATACCGAAACTTTCCTTGATAAGAGAGTGGAGTTTAAAACCCTACTCAAGATACGTACATCAGCCACGTATAGTAGGTGTTGTAGAGCTGTTGGACAAGAACAGGGGAATCGACCCAGAGGAATGGAGTTCAATATACAGTAGATGGATCGACTCATTTACGAACCTTTCTCAGGCAACTTACAAAAAGGGTGTGGTTATCTATGCTAGGCAAGACCTTGGAGCCAGGTGAGAGTGCAGAGGGATGGGGGGGGGGATGTTTTTGAATAATCGAAATCATGTAAAATTAAATTAAAGGGGAGAGACTTACTCATTGTCGGATGTATCTACAGATCCCCAAACTGTAGCTTATTAAACCAAAGAAATTTAAGACAATGCTACAGCACTCAATCCTAGCCACCCACCTTGTCATGGGGGACTTTAACTATGGTGACGTTGACTGAAGAAATGAAACCACGCCAAATGACCTTAATAATACCAGTACTCTTTTTGTTGAAACTCTGAGAGACAATTCTTTATTCCAACCTGTTAAAGATCCGACTTACTACAGTGGGGAGCAAACACCCACACCGCTGGATCTAAACATAACTAACGAGGAGGGTATGGTGGCCAAGCTGGAACACCTAGCCCCCGTTGGCACCAGTCACCAAGTAACACTGTCCTTCAGATTTACCTGGTAACTGTTAATTGGTTCATGACAAAAGCATGTCAAGGTTCAAATATTACAAAGACAATTATGATGGTACGAGGGGTATTTCACGGGCCTGACTCACCAAGATACAAGAATGCAGACACTACGCTGAATATCATAGCCAGTAAAGTGAACCACTTGATCTATTAATACAAGGAGACAGATACACATGAACCATGAGGCGGTTAACAATGTTAAGAAAAAAAATTGAGACGTGGGTTAGGATAAATGATGGGCAGGGCAGGAGGATGTATGCCATATCCTGGAACCAAGCAAAGTCAGAATGTAGGAGGGCTGAAAAAGAGTTCCAGAGGCGGATTGCAAGCAAGGTCAAGTCAAACCCAAAGGCTTTCTACCATTACGCAAAATCGAAAATAAAATTGCATGTAGGCATATCAGATTTGAAACGTGAAGGTGGTAGTTATGCAAATTCAGACCAGGACAAGGCGGAGGCGTCAAACAAATTTATTTCCTCGGTGATCACAAAAAAGGATGCAAACACCCTTCCTGTGTTTGAGGAATAGTGGTTTGACACAGTGCTGACCCATATTGTGTTCTCAGAAGAGGGTATAAGAAATATATTGTCAAAGCTAATGGTTCATAAGAGTCCTGGCCCAGACATGGTACATCCCAGTTGTGCAATGAGCTTGCTAAGTTCCTTAAGATCCGGTGTTCTGCATAAGCCTGGATGACCAAAAGGTCCCCCAGTGACTGGAAAATGGCTTAAGTGAGTCCTATATTCAAGCAGGGCGATCACCACTCCATGAGTTTAATTATAGACCTATGGGAACAGGTAACAGACAATTTCACTAGTCTGAAATAATTTTCTGTTGTAAGAGTTGATTATGGCTGAGAATGTGGCTATAGATGTGGTTACAATTGTGAGTGTGGTTATAGCTGTGTTTATGGTTGCGGGTGTGTCTATAGATATGTTTATGGTTATGGGTGTGGCTATAGCTGTGTTTATGGTTATGGGTGTGGCTATAGCTGTGTTTATGGTTGTGGGTGTGTCTATAGCTGTGTTTATGGTTGTGGGAGTGTCTATAGATATGTTTATGGTTGCGGGTGTGGCTATAGCTGTGTTTATGGTTATGGGTGTGGCTATAGCTGTGTTTATGGTTGTGGGTGTGTCTATAGCTGTGTTTATGGTTATGGGTGTGGCTATAGCTGTGTTTATGGTTGTGGGAGTGGCTAAAGCTGTGTTTATGGTTGTGAGTGTGGCTATTGATGTGCTTATGGTTTTGGGTGACTAGTTGTGATTGTGATTGTAATTGTGGTTATAATTGTGATTATGGCTGTGATTATTGGTATGGGTGTTGTATGGCTGGGTGGATTAAGGACATCAAATCTGAAATGGGCTGTCAGTCAAATTGATACCACAAGGGTGTCAAAACAATTACACTGGGCTGCTTCGCCAACAAAATTTATATACCCCAGTACAACAAAAGTATGAATTGCATCTTTGTGGGATGTTATTCTAGAGATCACTGACCAGCTAGATGACATTGCCTTGGAGTACTTACGTCTTGTTAAAGTTGTAGAGCATCACTCCAAGCCAGAGCGTGCCAAACATAAGCAGGAGGTAGAGGATGGAGTTCTCTCTAGTACACACATCTGGCACCAAGGTCAGGGTTGCCTCACCCTCTCCTGCTTCTGGGATGCCAGGTGTTGAGTAAGCATCTGAGTAATTGCTTAAGATAGTGAAGGTGGAAGGGGTGCCTATGGAATATGAGGTGTAGTTGGTGTTGTTGGTTAGGCCTTGGCAGGCCGGGCTGTAGTAGTTGGCATTAAAATCTGTATGGAAGAAAGAGCATTGACTTAAAGACTCACATTGGTTATCATCAATGTTTTATGGCCAGTTTCCATACCTGGCTTAAGGACAATATAAAAGTACAGTACGCGATGTACAAACATCAAAAACAAATTTTAACACAACCTGTCCAGCAGGTTGACCCCATGACACTCGTCCTTTAAAAAGAAGCAAGTATTGGAAAGCTATGGTTTGATTTTTTTCAATACATGTTGCACAGTTTTGTGGACACAAGAACACTTAATTCACTTATATGGACATTAAGCATTGTTGGTAACCCCTTAACCTTGAAATACAGTACTGTACTTCCTTTTGGTAAGCCTACGTGTGTTTTAGATTTAATGACAATCAGATAAAGCGTTGTTGAGAATACAACACAGTACAGGTACTCTATTTGTTGAAATGGCTAAAGGATGGTAGATTCATTGACAACATTATGCAGGACACTGGGTGTGCTGTTGTTAGAAGTGTGAATGTGAATGTAATTATGGTTATTCTCAAACTAGTTAAAGAACAGTTGAGAAATAAAAATTCTAATTATTGCCACTAAGGAAATAAATCATCCATATTTAACATACTACAGAATACGGTATTCATAAACTTGTGTTTCGAATTTGAAATAAATTGGCTTAAGCAAACTTGAGAAACATCAATTCTCAAAATGGTCAACAGGGCACACAATAGTAGATTTGGATAATCTAGAACCTTAACCAGTATACTAGAAATCTTACTACTAAGAAACAGAGGACAGCACATTGACACTGGAAATCCACCAATTTGAAGTGTGCAATATAAAAACATTCTTAGATTCCAGTTATTAGGGTCATTTATTTTTTCAGTTTATCATAAACAGTGATTCCAGTTTTATGGAGTTTTGTGGTTATAACTTTTACCCTATTATATTGCAAACTGAACGAGTCAGGTGAAATTAAATTATAATAATGTATTTATATTTTTTAACTAACACATGAAAGTTCCCGAATGCAATCAACACTGTACTATTAAACAGCAGACACTTCTAAACTCGAAGTAGCAAATTTTGTGTGAAGTGGACATGGTTAGGTTAGTTTTCATAAAGGTGACTCTGTGGGAGGGTTATGGGTATGGTCATTTCTGCAGTTGCTCATATATTTCTTATGGTGTACCATATCTGACACTGTTACAGCTTATTGCATGATGACTGTGCAGTTTGTATGGTTGTAAAGCAGATGCATTTAACATCTGAAGTACACCTGGTGAAACACTACTACCATAGCCTCTTGAAACAATGATTCCCTTAAACTGAAAAACAAAAGAATCAAATCACACAAAGATAATAATCAGCAACCTGACAAGGAATATGCAAGGAAATATATAAATATATTCATAGATTTTGAGACAATGATAAACAACACACACAGTTGAAATGAGAACTGTGCTGGTGGCTGTACACTTACTCTTTCCGACAGCAGTAAAGGCGTCGTTGCAGAAGGCAATGGAGATGAAGAGGGCAAAGATCTCCTCAGTAGAGCGTGTGGACCACCGCATGAGGCGAGATACATCAAACAGTGAATACATCACCAGGAAGAAACTGTTCCACATTCCCACTGCACAGTACATTGCATGGAAGTTTAACTTGAAGTCATCGCAGATATAATATATAACTGAAATAAAAAAATAAAGATACAGGACCTGTGTATACTATCACAATACAGTACTGTATATTTATTGTGGCTAATCAAAAAGTTAATTAAAAACAGATATAATATTAAGCTTATATAGTTGTGTAGACCTATGATAATAAACAAATAAATATATAATAGAAAAAAACAAATAAACACTGTAACAATGACCCCCAACTTGGTGATGGCGTCTAAATTCTGAAAAAAATAGTTTAACCTTCCCAACCCTACCGGAACGATAACACCCGGTTTGATAGTTCCACTCAAGGAGAAGGATGGGAGTGTTTGCTGCCATGGGTGACAGTTGTGCTCATTGACACTCACTCACTAACATGATATAAAACCTGACAACAGGGTCAAAACCAAAGTTCTAATTCACTTCAGCAGCCCAAAAGTAAAAAGGGAGGGTATCAGAGTTGCTCGATTCTTGCTCAGTTATAAATGGGATTTCAGGATTATTCCTCCACTTATAACAATATGCAAGTCTCTGGCAGCTCATGTACACCAAAGCCAGTTAGGAAAAAAAAAGGGGGGGGGGGGTAGCAGCAGATATTTCCAAGTGCTCTCTGCCCAGCACAAATCATCAGTGAGGACAATTGTAATGAATCAAACTTAGCACCAATATATTAAGTTTACCATGACCGTGAAGTCTTTAGGTGGCAGAACAGGAACAGCTACCACAGTAGTCAATAGATTGGCTCATCTCTGTAAAACTAACACAAGAGACCTTCTGGCTTCCACCTAACATAGCCAATTATAACACACCGCTGTTTACATTACTTATCTACTGACCGAGCTGGAATTTTCCACCATGAAATTCATGAAGATCCCTGTTCAGATCCCCAAAATACAAAACTAACCTAAAACACACAAGGTAAAGTGAATATACAGTAGTATTGAGAAGACCCAAATATGTACTAAGAAACTGATGACTAAAGCATTAAACTACAAACACCTCTGCTCTGACTTAAAAGTCGATTCAGATAAAGCTGCATCATGAGAAATTACCAAACTATATTTATCCAACATGGAGGCATTAAAGAAAGAATGCTTCAAATTTGTGCTGAAGCATTTTTGAGACCACTTGAGGCAGTCAGGAAAGATAAGGAAACACAAATTGAGTCTTAGGTAATGTAATTGATAAAGCACATAAATACAATCCAAGGTAATCCTCAGTGGAGAAACTGTCATCATGGGCCCTGATTAAGGCTCTTTCCTCATGATCCTTTTGAAATTATTAATCTTTTTAAATCACTGTTTTCGATAACTGCAGGAAAGTGCCCCTGGTCAGATAACATAACTATATTGTGTTAATTTTTGGTGTTTTGAATATGATTCTGTTACCCCCCCCTACTCAATTTCTGGGTGTGTCCTTGCCGTGACAAGTGGGGTACCACAGGGCAGTGTACTGGGCCTGTTGTTTGTTTATTTGTTTCATAAATGACATGCGAAAAGCTATACACTGTTCCATACAAATGATTGTGGACGATGACAAGTTATTCATGGAAATTAAAAACCAAATGGACTGTGAAGAGCTACAGTAAGATCTCTGTCAGCTTCAGGAGTAGTTGAAGAGGCTGTACCAACAGTAAGGGGGGGGAAGAAAAAACAGCATTAACGGAGAGTGAATGTGAAAAGGACCCAAGTGTGTATGCTGACAACAAACTGAAGTTCTCCGACCACTGTGAGAAGAAGGTGAATCAAGCAACTTAGTTAGTAGGTCCTATAAAGAGGTCATTCAGGTATCTTAACAGTCCATCCCTTGCAACACTCTTCGAGAGTCAGGTAATTGATACTGTGATCTGACTTACTTTTGATGTAGATGGCGAGTGGAGCTGTGGTGAGCTGGATGAGGAGAGGCTGGCCAGAGAAAAGCCCCCAAAACACTCCACCTATCACCTGCCCAATGATCACCTTCTTCACATCTGGAAGAGAGAATACTTAGGTAGGTCATGGGGAAGTAGAGGCAATGTTAAGGAGGTAAACTGACTATCTGGTGTATCGCGTCAAAGTACAGACCAAGTCAACAGGGCAGAAAAACTACCAGGTGACACGTGGCAGCTAGATCATATCTGAAAGAGTGAGTGAGCATAATGGAAAATAAAAAAAGACAAGCAAAGAGTGAAACTTGTTCATAGTGCAGTACACGTACAGTAAAACAATAAATATTAAAATAGGTCTGATGCAGTGTAAATACATAAAATGAAGTACAAGCTTAATAGTAAAGACATGTTCTGCCCCCCCACCACCAAAAAACACACACACACACTTTTCTCTTGCTGTACATGTTACAAAACAATTTTGCTGCCAAAGTTTTTCGTGAACACTTAATTGCAATGTGTGTTTCACACACCTATTTTGCCATGCAGAGTATGCTTTCCATTCTTATCTTATAAAGCATGTTTCCTAAACTTGTTAGTTATGTGTTTGTTCCTCATACAGGCCATATGAATACTGTATTGAACAGTACAGTAGTTTGTTACCTATATTGCCATGCGTGTTGTGATCATTGAGGACCCCAAAGGCAATGGCTGGCAGAATGCAGGCGAAGTACAAGAAGAATGTGGTGGAGATGACCTTCTGCAGCGTCTTATGGCCAATAACTCCATCCCTGTAGTCTGAGAGGTAGTGAGGCATCCGCCGCTCTAGGTCCTCCCGCAGGCCCCGGGCGAATGAACACCGTTTTTCCTGCTGTGGGGCGACACAGACTGTTAGTTAGAACAATATTATATGTTCCTTAGAAAATACATGCCTACCATGTGTATAATGGTCTGTTCACTGACTGATGAAACTGAAATGGTTTGTATTGCCTCTTGTAGCAGAACTGCTCTTTTTATTAACTACTGTGGCAAAAATAGTCTGTCATTATTTGCAGTAGAAGAAGTACATAAGAGTAATTTGTTACCTGCTATGGCAAAAATGGCCCATTTGTTATAGCTGTGACAGAAAAATACTATGCATTTGTAAAATGCTCCATCAAAAATGGTTTACATGTCAACTACTGTGGAAGAGTTATATTTTGTGACTATTATTTAAATATCTATTAAGTGATAGAAAACAGTGAATCATGTAAATGATACTAGTTCAACTATGTTCTTCTATGTTCAAAATTAAAACCTCACGTAAGCATCCCTAAAGAGCACTGAGAGAAGACTGGATAAGTGTTGGGCAGACTCTGTGAAGTCCCCCTACTTGAAGACGATTCATGAGCGTTGAAATGTAAATCCATACAATATGTATTTTATACTAGGTTAGCGTTAGGTTCAAGGGTGAGACAATTTTAAAATGGAGAGAGGTTAGGGACGGTGATGGACGAGAGTTGCGAAAGGGTATCAGAGGGGATGCTGTGAAGTGAGGAAGACCTGAGAAAATGTGCATTTATGCTCAATAAATCCTACGTTTCTGAAATCCTCACCAATATTAACGTCTTCATTACATGAATGTGTGTTTTCAATCGGTTTATAACCTGAACACAAACTCATACAGTATTCATATTAAATGAAGTAAAGTACTGTATTCTTGTTATTATGGTGAAAACTACAGATGTATTGTATTTAGCATCAATCAGAATATTATTATTGCCATGTGTACAGTCCACAAAAAAATATTCTGCACCTTTATGATGTTATACAATATGTAACAGCATGACAGGTCGCCCAAACGGCTAACGAGCAGATCAGTGGTGAAGAGGATAAACGTAAAGTAAAGACAAACCAGACCAAGAACTCTGAATAACACGGGTTTTATATGTATTCCATGTTTACTTCCCTGTATGAAATAAATGTGACATACAGAATACATTGTATTGGTTACACAATGCACCACACAATCAGCATTACCAACCTAACCAAATTAATATGGCCTCAGTCAGTGATCATTGCAAATGCCATCAAATCCAGGGGTACAGATCTTTTTTTTGTTGACTATACAGTACAACTTACATATTCAAATTCGTCGACTCTTTCGTGGTTCATCTCTATGCGCTTGTCGTTGCTCATCTGTTGTTCCTCTGCAAGTTCTTGCGAGTGCTTGATGATGAGCCGCTTGAACTCTTCCTCATTAGTCGCCTCCAGGAGTCTCTGCCGGAAGTCCATATCAGCGAAGATTGTGGCGAAGGTGCGTCCAGTCTCCAGCGAATTCTTGGTACCTTTCTGTCAACAGCAAAAGGAAACTCTTAGTGGAAGCACTGATATATGCATATACAAACACAGGCAGAATGGTTCAATGGTTCATTGACAAAACCCGTCTTTGGCGTAGTTGTAGAGCTTTTGGTAGAATATTGGTAGCACTGTGTACTGTAGTATGAGATGATAGTAAAATCATAAACAGGTGTAATAAACCAATTCACTCACAGCCCAAAACTGAGTATTATACAGGTAGGCTACAGTACAGTATTTGAGATAAAAGAATCAGTAAGATATATGGAGATATGATTATTGTTCTTAAAATTACTGGACACATCATACTTTTTCATATTTGTGGCAATGCAGGCAATTAGTTGTTTTATTTATAACTTTAACCTTTATCCTCTTCACCACTGATCGGCTCGTTAGCCGCTTGGGCGATCGGTCATGTCTCTGTTAAGCATTGCTGGCAAGTACTGGGCATGCACCGGCTCCTGAATGTACCTGAACCTGCTCCAGTGTTGGTCAAGTCTGGTCTTGAAAGAGCTCACACTCGGTGCCGTCACAACACTCTCTGGTAGATTGTTCCAAGAGTTCACAACTCTCACTACAAAAAAGTTTGCCCTCACAGTTTTCTGGACGTGCAGCTTCTTCAATCTTGAGCTGTGACCCCTTATGGGGCGAGCGTCCGCCAGCTGCAAGTAAGGACACTCGACTGAGTAGTGTCCCTTGAGATGCTTATACACCTCTATTAGGTTACCCCTTGCCCGTCTGTAGTATAAGCTCGGCAAGTTCAGGGGCTCCAATATCTCAGGGTAACTGAGGTGCCGAAGTGCAGGCACCAGTCTGGTGGCCCTCCTTTGAACATTTTCAACCAACTGACAGTCCCTAGCATATTAGGGTGTGTCATACGGAGGCGAATTTTTTTTTTTTCGAGTTTGAAAAATCGGCCCATGGTATTAATGATGTAGTTCTATGTGCAGAATCATGTGATATCTTCAGATTTGAAAAGTTTTCATTTTTTGCTAGGTAAATTTTAACTTGAAATCTTATGAAAATTCAGTATTCCCACCCTTTTACCAACACCACTAAATAGCTTATTTAAAGTAAAGTAAATGTATCAGGTTAATTTATTAGGATGAAAATGATCCAGAATAGTGAAACGAATGATCTTGACACATTTATTAAATTTAATATTCCTTTAGAAAACAAAATCATCAAATACAAAAACCGGTTTTACTACTACGACCCGGTGTTGCTGCACACCATAGAGAACATGTCTTTCTTGCTTCTGTTTCTACTCATCACCTCCCTGCTGACCACCTGAGCTCGGATGTAGCCTTCCCTCCTCTCCTGGCTGTACACGTGACTGCTGGCCTCGCTCACTTGCTGTACACAACGCTCTATGCTCTGGGTGTGCGAGGGCCAGGCAGGGACATGCATGGGGTTGTCCAGGAAAGCTCTGACTTGAACATTGGTGAGGCTGCAGGTAAGAGGGGGCTCACTGCCAGCCTGGATGTTATCCAGATCTATGAGATCAGTGAGGGTCTTGGCACCTAGATTGACTTCAGGAGTCTTCCTGACCCTGAAGGAATCGTCACCAACTGATTCATCATGCCCAGATCCTCTCATAAGTCTCATATCCAAGATCTTTTTGACTGCCACTCTTCTCTCCTCCTCATCCTTACTGCAGAGCATTGTCTGCAGAACTGCCTCGGGATGAGCATACCAGGAAGATCTCCTCACAGTCTGTTCCACAATCTGAACAACCTTCCTTGGCTGACTCCTCAGGAGCTCAAGCTGGAAGAGAACATACCTCGGACCTTCGGAGAACGATGACTTGACCTTGGTGTTGAACCAATTTGGCAAGTAGACACTCACGATGAATTGGACAATAAGTCTCAGGTTGTGAAGCTGGTTCCCTTTCAGTTTATGATGAGCGACCCAAATTCTGCAGAACCTGAGAGCCGTTGAGAGCCACCTAGAATGTGAGACTGGACCTATCTGCAGGTAAGCAAGTCTATCAGGCATGACCCCAGTTTTGATGGCACTGCAAATCATGTAACCATAGTACTGGTCAGTACTCAGGTCGTCAATGACAGTATGTGCAAGCTCAACGAGTGGAGGGCCAACTGAGATTTTTTCAAAGCTCGGATTTATTTCTAACTCAGTGGCAGAGTCCAGCATCTTGCCAAGAGGACCAGATCATCTGTTGTTTGAAAGAGTCTTGCCATCCAGCTCCTGGATCAGATGTCTGAGTGGCAACTCGTTGGTGTGGAGGTCACAAACAATCCAGACCAGCTTCCTCCCAATCTTCCGCTCTATCCACTGTATGACCCCCCCTTGCCACCCTGTGTTCGTGTTGGTGCTGTCCCCTCCAATGGCCTGCAGGGTCTGGTCTACGTTCCTCTCTCTGAGCCAGTTCACAATGTTATCTGCCACTATCTCAGCTGGTTTCCTGATGTCATCTTTCTCTGGAGTGAAATGCCACAAATACTTCCCTCCTGGTTCACTGCAGCAGGAGTAGTGTTCCTCCTTCACCATGGCAGGGAACAACTTGTCAGAATCTCCAACTTTCATGAACACTTTAGTGTCACCCTTCTCCCATCAAAGAACAAACAATTGATTCCATTTTCTCTTATCCCCTTATCAAACTCCTCTTCTAGGTTACTGACAAGTTTCTCCTGAGCTCTCCTTACTTTGTTATGATCTATCACCAGGTGAACATCATCAGGTGTTATCAAACCACGTCAATCCAGGCAGCTGTTGCTATCTCTGCAGTTTCTCTGAGACCAGTGTGGTGTCGCATGCTGGCCAGAGCTATGCTCGGGATATCTTTCCTATTTCGAATCTTATGCCTGGAAGGTTTGGGATCATTATTTTCTGGGTTAGGGACAAAGTCACCATTCTCCTGGTCAGCACTCGGATCAGCCATGGGGAAGTCATTAAACTCTGAATCAGCTTGACTCCAATCATCGGCCTTTTTTACCTCATCCTGGGCCTTCTCAAGTCTCTTTTCCTTGGCAACTCTTCTCCTCTTCTGTCTCTCTGTGGCAGCCTCCTGTCTCTTGGACTCCGGAATATCTTGGCTAGAAATCATGAGAGCCCCTATACTGCCAGTCTTCTCTCTCTGTGCTTTGACAAATGCCAGTTCGATCACAGGAATCTTCAGTTCATGCTTGCAAATACAGGAGATGTGGGCCTCGGATTTACAGTCACGATCGCATCCAAACTCAGGATAGAGAACAATTGGGCACTTGCAAGTAATTATGTCAAATAACTGGTCCAGTTGCTTGGCAAAGCTGTCCTTAACTGCAAGTTTTCCTCTCCCAAGAGAGATATCTCTTGCCTTTTCCCAACTGGCTAGCAGTCTCTCACTAATCTTCTTCTGACTTGTTATGACTGGAGGCTTGAACTGAGCGTTAGCCAGAGTGTACTGTGCCAAGACAGCTTTGGTCATATCACTGGCAATGTCTTTGTTTGTGTAAGTTCTTTGGTTCTTTTCACTGATTTGCCTGATTAAAACACCGTATCTCAAAGCATCTCTCAATGTAGGCAACTCCGACTTCAGGAGCTCTCTCCCAGACCCAAGATAGTGACTGAGATGGCTGGATTTTTGGTTCCTCGTCCTGACACAAGCAGCCATCGCAAATATTATCAACTTATAAATGCATCAGAATCTGAAACAGAAAAAATATTGTTAGTTGGGTTGTTAAAGAATGAAGTCAGAAAGCAATGTTCACTATTTAATTGTAATGCACTAATGCAGCTGTACGTTAGATTTTCGATAAATTTCACGCTAAAATTTACCTAGCAAAAGGTTGCAAAATATTGAAACTGAAATTATTTTCTGTTTATATACACTAAAATCTACCAAAAAAGTGATGGGCCATTAGTTTTAGCTGATCTTCCCTCCTATGACACACCCTACTAGCATATCTCAGGGACCAGACGGGGTGACATTACTCCAGATGGGGAAGCACTTCATTCTTGAAGATCGTTACGAGGGACGGACCGTCTAGATATCTGAACGACCTTCTTATAAGACCCAATAATTTATTTGCCTGATTTACCTTCTTCTCGCAATGGCCCGAGAACTTCAGCTCATTGTCAACATACACACCTAGGTTCTCACATTCAGTCTCAAATAGTGCAGTTTCTTCATCCCGTTGGGACATATGATACGCCTCCTTACAGTTGGTACGCCCCAGGTGCATCCTCTTACACTTCGTGACATTGAATCTCAGCAGCCATTTCTTCGACCATTCTTGGAGCCCACAGGGGTCCTTCTGCAGGTCTTCACAGTCCGCTTGGTTCTTGATTCCCGAAATAACTTGGCTTCATCGGCAAACATTTGTGTGGAGGAGTGTTACTAACATTAAAACCATGTGCATTTACTGTATAGTCACTAAGAAAGGTAGAAACCACAACAAAAAACATGCAGAATTAAAATTTAAAACAGATAAAACGAAAACACCAAAAGTAAAAACAAAGGACTGACGACCCAATGATAAACAAAGGAAAAAACAACAAGAAAAACTTCACGCAGCGATCTGGTTGAACCCAGATTCTTTTAAACTCTAAATCTGTACTTCTATCCCCTCCCCCCTCCCCCTAACTCCTACTTCTTCCCGATCTTAACTAATGACATCAAGATAGCTAAGGTATCTTCAAATATACTGTAAGAGCATTTAACACAGCGACTCGCCGTCAAGTAAGGGTGGAACGGCCTGCTCAATCTCCGGCCAGACTGTATCACGAATTCCTGACCCCGACGGTTTTCAGATTTTGTACATCTACAATTGTACATTTTGCAATTTGTATTGTATTATTGCTGTTGGTGTACGCTAATTCTCTTCGCGTACAGCTTTTCCTCAATGTACACTCTGTTCCCCATGTAAAATTCAATTTTCTTGTACAAACATTATACCTGTCGTAATTTTTTTTTAAATCCCCAAAGCAACTCTAATTAAATAAACAGGATTACTTGAAGGTAAGGTGGTGGGGGGAGCAGGTCTCATAATGTG